TATCAATTGCTATTAAATTTGAAGAGTAAAGTGGTTCAGTGGATTTCTTGGTATCGTGGCGTAAACAATAGGATTCTACCTCATGGCGAGAATAAACTCGGCATTAAAAAATCCACATGATTCCAGAAGCCTATTTGTATTTCTATCGCCAAGTGACTCTCTCACAAAAAAAAATCTCTGAGCTAAGTATTAAGTATTAAGAAAGCTCATGCAACTATTTGTTATTTAAAGCAATATGTAACTGATTTTTCATGATTAGGTGATAATTATTAGGCTTTAAAAGGTTAATTTAAGTACTAGCCAGCTAGCTATTATAATCTAATAATTCTTATTCCATTTATAAATTGTTATATTAATAAATGAATAAATTTTTGGAATATTCGATGCATTTATTTATTATTATTTGTACAATATATAGCAATAACAAAACAAAAAGCACCGTTTTTCATGGTTTTTCATTTTCATGTTTTTATTTCTTATTATAGTATATATCATAGCAAAATTGCATCGCATAAAAATATTATTTTCTTTGGATTATCCTTAGAAATCTCGTTGAGTATTTCGCAAAATAAAAAAAAGCATAAAAATAAAAATTTTGTTGAAAAAAAAATAAAAAATAAAATTTTGAAAAATAAAAGGAGATAAAATGCGAAATTTTTCGCTAAAAAAAAACCGTTGTTATATAAACTTAATTAAATTTTTTTTTGCAACATAAAACTTATTGTCTTTTCAATTTTGCGGATAAAAAAATAATTTTTTTCTCGAAAATTATCTGAAAAAAAATGAGATTCTGCTGACTATAGACAATCGACAATTCATGGATGTGTGGAAAATTGATAGCCATCCATTTAAAATTTTTTTATCAGCAATAAAAAGAAAAGTTTATGCTTCATTAATCGAATGAATCGCTTTAATTAGATTCCACGCATTTTTGTAGGGTCAGTTAATTGCCTTTCTAATTTCTAATTTTATTAAATGGTTTTCACCAAATATTGAAACTTCCGACGAATTTATTACCGATATTTTTAGTCATTGCGAGAAATTTCCCCTTAATCGTTCTGTTGACCACTAATATAAAAGCCTACGCCAGCTTTGACTGCAATTAACGTATTATTATAAATGCATAATGCAATATGCTAGTTTATCATTTTTCTATAATGATAAGAGTATTTTAAATAATGATAAAGATGACAAGAAATTTTCTAAGTGTTTAGCTAGCGAATCAACTTGATTAAAAAGGCAAACAAATTTTAATTATAGTTTTCTTCTTTAGATTTGTGTAAGAAACTTTAATATAGTTTTAGATTTACTAAAATTTAAAATTTTTTTTAAAATTTAATTTTAAAATTAAAATTTGCTTAAAAAATTAGTTGATCTAATTGATTATTCACAATTTGATTGTTTAATAAGTTTTTATATTTTTCTTCCAAATAGATTTCAAATCTGATAGATTTATCACTTATTTACTGATCATTCATTTATATTCATTAATTTCGAGAAACTCATTAATTTTCCTTTATTAATGAAATCTTCTAAACTAAATCATTCCTTTTCTTTTTGTTTTCATTTCATCTCAGATAGATTCATTCATTATTTTTTAAACTAAGCTTATAATTAAATAAATCAAAATATCATCATTTTTAAGTTTTTTCTTACTAAATATTTTCTCTGAAAAAAAACGAAATAATTCAGCATTTCATCAATTTTTTTTGCAAGTTCAAGAATTTTCAAAAATTTATGAAAGCAACTAAAATAATTGCGATAAACAATAAACTAGAAGAAAGAAGAATGGAACGGTCAATAAATGGACCAATTTCCTGCTTAAAATTTTTCCTTCACCATAATTAAAAATTAAAGGAACATTGGAGTAAACTTCATTAATTCTGTTTCCCCTATCAAAAATAACTATTTCATTTTGTTTCTAGCAAAAGTTTTTTTTAATTCATGAGATGATTGATAGGAGTATTTTAAATACTGATACAGATAAGGTGATAAAAAATACGAATTTAGTCGAGTAGAACAATAATTAAAAAACTGATAAGAAAAATCTATTATTTAAAACCTTTTTGAATCCACGAAAATTTAATTAGAGATGCTTTCTACGATTCCTTCTTTACATGTAAATATTCCAAAATTGCTATCGGATTTGCTATCTAATTCCATAATCAAATAATAATATAATATTATTTAGAAATTATATTTATTATTTCATAAATTGGTTATGAAACAATTATTCGTAAATTCCAATTTTTATTTGTGTATAAATCTCTTAAAAGAAATAATAATTTTTATTAATTATTTTAATTAAAATAAAAATATATGATAAAAAAAATTAAATTAACCGAAAGTAAATAAACAAGCAAAACAAAAAAAATCAAGCAAAATTAATTTAACAATACGAATTTAATCAACTTTTTTCCTTTTTCTATTTTAATTTAATTAATAATTTATCAGTTCAATTAAATAATCTTAAGCCTTTCCAAGTTGTGCAAAAAAAGAATTTTTATATTAAAAAAAAGTTAAATTAAGCGAAAACTTTTAAAATTTAAAATTATTAGTTGAACTAATTATCGGAATAAATTCGAAAAGTATTTAAAATTTTTATAAAAAATTTTTACTAATTTCCTTTTCTTCGATTACATTTTAAATTAAATTTTAAATCTTTTCTTCATAATCTAAAATTATTTATTGAAATTTATTTTTTTCTACATTTCTGGTTTAAATTTGAAAAATTCTTCAGAGAGTTACTTGAATAAATATTAGATTGGTTCCAAATCGTTAACCTAGTTTCACAGCTTTTTCAGTCAAGAAATTTGTATTCCAATCATGAAATTATAAATTAAAAGCGTTATATATAAGCATTCAGTTTAAATAACCTAAATGTACGTTTATTTTTTAAGAATGTCCTCACCATTATTGCTATGACTCGTTCCGCTGTCGTACCGCACTAGATAAATATGCCAAGAAGTTCCTTGGCGATAAAAATACAGGTGAGTCGTCAGCATCATTTAGATTCTCGGACAGGTGTGCTCCTGCACTTGAACTTCAGCACCGGCGCTCTGAATTGCAACAATCTACTTAGCTATTCTATATCTCCATATATCAAACTATAGTATTTATGCATTACTAAAAAATGAGATGAAATGAAGTTTTTCCAAATATAGAAATCTTGAAATTTGAAATTTTTCCTTATTTCTTCCTTGGAACTTTTCTTATAGGCAGAAAAGCGTTATATAGTGATAAAAAGAATAGCTTAGTAAATATCAATCGTTTAGATCTATTATCTTCTCCGTGATTTTGATGGATTTAACTAAAATCCGTATCGCTTCGAATCTTCATTTTTTTCTTTTTTTTTATTTACTCGTTCTATTATAAAATTTTATTTTATATTTTTATTTTTTATTTTTTTTAACATTTGATGAATTTTAGCTCGCTTAAAATATTTGTCATATTTTTATCAAAATTATCACATTTTTAGGTTAATCACAAAGATAAAAATTAATTTACTGTTATTGAAATAATTGAAATGAGGCAATATTACTCTTCTTTCATCGCATTTATACAGGTTTTTTTTCTTTCTGTTAAATTTCTAATAAAAATATTTTTTGGTTTTATTTAATATTAGTAGTTTTTTTGTAATTTTTTATAATCTAAAAAAACAAATTAAAATTTATTTTTTACAGATTTTATCGGCATTAATTCTTTGCAATGCATTTCCAAGGTTCGCCTTAATTCACCTTTCACATTCACCTTTTATTTAGTTTTTTGTTGTTTTCCAAGAAAAATATTAAATATTAAACAAATAAATACAAATTAAATGTCGAAAAAATTGAATATCGTATTAATTAAAATTTTTATATTCAATTTCATATTAAAATTAGTTATTAAAATTAAAATTAGTTATTAAATTAGTTAAAATTATTTAAGTTTTATTTAAAAATGACAATTCAAGTTGGTAATTTAAGTTGGTTTATAAGTGCAAAAAATTTATGTTTTATAATATATATTGTTAATTAATTTTTATTAGTTCAAAAACAACTAAAAATTATCGATTATAAATTAAATTAGAGCAAATTCTAATGGGAATTCAAGAAATTTAATGTTCTAATGGAAATTTAATGTTTTTTTTTTCTTGGAGAGTAAACATTGTGTTGCAAGTAGATCGAAATAACAGCAATAATATTATAATTTTATTAATTATTATTAATTCTGTCAAAATCGATGCTCTTTAGGATCTTTTTGATGCTTTATTGGTACCTATGGACTTTTATCAAATAATAATTAATGTGATATGAAAATATTGGTGATTTATATTAGTTGCTGTAATTTTGTACTATTGCACGACATTCGCAATTTCTTCTTCTAACCATTACTCACCATTATGATTAGGCTGACTCCAACGGCTACAAGGGTAAGACGCTTCAAAGCGCCGTGATCTGATGCCGTCGTCGACAGTAATAGGAGCCATTCCTTTTTTCCATTGCTCTAAGTTCATATATTGTTGGTCCACCTATAATACGTTCAAAATCTTTTTTGACCGTATCAGTCCAGATCTTAATTGGCCCTCCTCGCTTTTAATCATCACACGGTTTAGCAAGCAACGAAATATGCGTCAACTCCTACGACATTCACTGAAATATATTAAATATAATTTTTCCATCTATTGTCATGGTTCTCCAAATTTTTGTGTGGTCTATTCAGTGGACGCATGGACCCAAACTTCGAAACCATGGCAAATAGAAGAATATAAATAGAATTTTATCTATTTAATTACTCTCTGAAAATCTCAGAAAACTATATTAAAATAAATTTTGAAATTTTCTATTAAAAATATAAAAAAATAAAATTTTGTCGTGCAAAAATGCTTAAAACTAATTTATTGGTAATTGATAAAATTTATTTATAACTGATAAAATAATTCATTGACAAAAATTATCAAATCATTTTCAATTAATAAATATTAATATTCATTTTAAGAAATTAATTTTTTTTTTTTTCAAATGAATGTTATAATTTCCTTTTTCTTTTATTGCAGAAAATCACTAATTGAAAAGCGAGCATTCGATAAAATTGAACAATCGGATTTTGGACTTTTACGGAAGCGTTTCGAACTTTTTTATCCATTTAGGCAAGGGAAAAATATGGAAGAAATGAATAATTCGGGCAAATATCATCATCTCGACGAACATTATCACACGATAAAAAAGCGAGGTTTTGATCGAATCGACGATGCCGATTTTGGTTTATTTAAAAAGCGAGCGTTTGATCGAATCGATGAAGGTTTTGGTTTAATGAAGAAGCGAGCCTTCGATCGCCTTGATACGTCGGAATTCGGCTTGAGAAAACGTGGATTTTTACCGTACTATCTTGAACAATACGAAATATCATCGCCGTTTAGAAATCATTTATTTGATTTCCTTGGCAAAAAAGGAATTCTTTTGCTAATAGAACCAAATTATAATGAAAACGTCGAACAACGATACAAAAGAGCATTTGATCGTATTGAGAGTTCAGACTTTGGCTTTCATAAACGCTCAATCGCTGATAAAATGAATGATAATAGTTCGTTTTTGGAAATTATCACTCTTTTTTTTTAAAAATAAATGCTTAGAAATAACCAGAATTAGCCTATCGGCGGGTTTCTTAAAAGAATATATACTGCCCTATATAACTGCCATCGATGTCAACCTATCCTATGTTTAAAGAAAAGGTGCAACACACCTGATTTCTCTTAATTAGATGAGATAATAAATAAATAGTGATTAATAGCTTAGATCACCAGGTAGAGAATTACTGGTTTGACTTCTCCCACCTATAGGAGTAAATCTGCCAATTAATTGATTAAATCGATGCGATTCTTTTGGATTCCTTTGGTGCTTTATTGATACCTATGGACTCTTTTATTTAATTCACATGATATTTCACTCCCAGTCCTATTTCTATTTCTAAGTGACTCTCTCTGGTGAACATTTTAATTGTGACTAACAATCAGTGGAGTGGGCGCTATCCATAAATGGATGATAAAGTACTATTTAAGTTTCTGATTAAACGATGGAATAACTTCTTTAAAATAAAAATTCCAGAAAATATCGATGAGATAATTGCGCATAAAGTGACAAAACGACCTTTCGACAGAATTGAACGCTCCGATTTTGGTCCAATGACCAAGCGAACACCAGCAACTTTACCTGAATCTTTTATGGAATTCGATCCAAATTTAATCGATATTGCACCAAACGACAATATTTTATTATCAGGTCCAGCAGAAACGATTTTTTTATTACATGATTAATTATTAAAAAATTTGTTACAAATGATAAATTTCATCCATTGTGATAGATTATAGATCGTCAAAACGCCTGCTACTATTGCTTGTTATCAAGCCATATGTCATATTAATGCAAATACAGTCCAACATAGAACATAAATTTTCGAATAATGAATCAAACAACCTTGGCAAATTATTCAGCTATTACATCTAATAATAATAATAGATTACTGATGTACTGAATAGCTAAATAATCAATTAAGCATACTTTTCCTTTAAATATTCTTCCTAAGCTATAAAAACAAGTTGCTTCCACATCAAAAAAAAAAAAAAAATATCTGATAAAATCCACTATTTCGATTGATCATTTACTGTGTTCAAATCATAATTATAATCAATAAATCTTCCTCAACTGTTTTTTCAGCTTTCTACATTTTTTGAGATGAAAGAACTTTAATATGTTGCAAATTATCATAGGCACAATCATTAATTTAAAAAAATCTTCTTCCCATCTCTTATGGTCAGTCAAGATCATCCTCCACCTTGACTCCTTTACCAGAAGCCTACTAGGAGATTGAGAGTTCTGCATAATATACTATATATATATTTTATAAATTTATATTTATGATTTATTTATATGTTTAAATTTATTTGTATGCTAATATTTATGATTTTTATGAATAATTATATATTTATAATTTATTTGTCTATATGATCCATAATTTACACTGTTTACTGCATATCGATTTTATTTACAATATAATAATGCAAATATTACATTTCCAAAACAAGCCATTTTCCTTGCGAGACATTTAGTTTATTTTCACCAAACGGTTCACGAATTCGGACCTAAAAAGGAAATACAATACAATGCAAGGCAAAAAGCTCCAAATTGCAAATGTTTCTTCACAAACCTTATATTCAATTTTGCCACCGGCTGGTTTCCTGCCGTCCATTAAACTGACGCTTTCATGGATTTCAGTTTTTTCCTCAAGTACAACCAACTTGCAATCAGAGGTCCCCAATAATTTATCACTTCGTAAAAATCCACCTTTCTGATAAACCTAGAAAACCATATATAGATAATCGCTAAGATTTAGCATTATTCCTTTCAGTGTTCGAAATTTTTTCTTCTTGAGTTAATTTTTTGTTTTATAAATGTTAAAAATTTAGGCTTCTTAAAAAGTTAAAGTGTTGTTTGAACTAACCTCAAATTTTAAGCAATTCCGTTTTATGACACGCAACAACTGGCGCGATTTTCGATTTGCATTCAATAAAAATTTCTCATTAAATTCTAAAAAATTTGGAAAATCATTAAACAAATTAAATAAATTAAAAGTGAACTTGCGGGAAAGACATTCTTCGAGATGATCTCTTCAAATGCTGTCCACTGGTTTGGGAGGAATAAATGATATATGACAATCTAGGCAATTCTGTTCCCAATTCCCAGTAAAGATGATAGACGAATTGCAACTATCGAGGAATCCTTATTAGATATTTTTGGCGCGATTTTTGTCTCCATTCTACTGAATGGGCTCATGGCAATAAACGCGTTCTTAAAGCTAGATTTAAGATTTAGGCTAGTTAATGGATTGACCAAGTTTTCACGCTAACGGTATTGGAAAATCAGTAACCTCACCGGTTTTGCTTTTCATTCGATCGATAGGACCAAGATGATGATCCGAAAAAGATATTCAAACTTACAGCATTTTACCAGCGAAAGTGTGGGAGCATAGGGAACAGTGGGAGCATAATCTTTCGAAATATGAATTATCTAATGTACATATGAACTAAGGTTGCGCCTCTTCAAATTATCAATAATGCGATCTATTAGGAGAACTATTTATATATGCTGAATGAAAAATCAAACTTGTTACGCAATCAGAAATTCGTGTAAAAGACATAAAAATTTCAAGTGGAAAAGAATATACCAGGAGAATTCGAACCATAAACTACTTTTGTTTTCCCAACTTGATGATTATCATGAGGAAAAGAAAAATCATATTTCACGAAAATATTTCCATCACATGGCTGCCAGCCTAAATAATAAAATAATAATAAAATAATACGCATGTTTATATCTATAAAATTTTTTTACATATTCGTATAGCTCTTTAGAACTGAACGAAATATTAATATCGTAATTGCAAACCAGCTGGTAATTTCGAATCAAGCACGCAAATTATTGTTAACTCTAACTGATTCTCATTCACTTCAGTGCATACATCAAGTGAAGGAAAATTTCGCACTTCATATCGAAATCTTTAAAAAATTTTATTTCAGTAATACCATCTGAAAAGCAAATGTAATATTCGCAAAATAGTTTTAATAGATTCGATATTTGTTGACAAAAAAAACCTTGTTGCAAGCTGGGATATAAATAAGCTGAGGAACTTTTCGATTATATATAGCTAAAACCTTATTTTACTTAGAACAAGATAAGAATGAATAAAACAAGACTGTCAAACACTACTTGGGTAAAGAAGCACCGCTTTTCGCAAGTTGACGCAATTGAATGAGATCTCTTTTGGTATTGGTTAACCAAGATTCAAAAAGCTTGACTCTTGGAACATCGCCTAATCTTAAATTCTAATTCGAATTAACCTTTTGAAATAGCACATTTTAACTTTATAAAATCCTGGGTTGTATGCAATATGCAATGTATCAAATTCAAATAACACAAAATTCAAATAACACAACGAACTTCGCGAAAGCCAATCGATTTTCCTCACAAAGACGAACCTGACGGATAAGATCAAGTTCCATTACAGCAAAAATATCACCTCGGTTACCTGAAGAATATATTATAAAGAAAATTTAAAAACTCGAAAAGTAAATAAAGGAAAATGAAAATAACAAAATGTGGCAAAAAATAGAAGCAAAATTATTTTTAGCAAATTTGTTTTTAAATAAAACATTGAATAGTAACCTTGAATAACTGCTGATGAATCTAAACTCTCTTGGGGACTTAACGCAGGCTTCAAGTTTTTTGATATGGCTTGCATTTGAGGCGGTATAGGAGCTTTACTTATATTCACAGGTAACCCAGCTTTTGATGCCTTAATCATTGGATCAAAGCCCTGAAATTTCTATCTATTTTACATAGAAATATGGATAAGGAGAATGAATAGAATGCAAAAAAAAGAAAATGGGGTTCATGAATCTCAAAAAAGACTTTCACGACCTTTGAAGCTAACAGATACTTTTTTGCTGCAATTATATCTCCTTTCTGTTTCGCAAAAAGTGCAGCTTGCTTAAAGAGAAGTTGCCGCTTTTGAAGAAATTCAAGTTGATTGCTCTGACGCGACTTACAACCATCGCGTGAATTCAGAGGGACCGTTGCTGCGAATGGGCCGATTTCATGGTTCACGCGAGAATTAAATTGTGAAGCAGATGGCGCAAATTCTAAAAAAATTAAAAATCATGATCTAAAAAATTGTTCATATCGATAACAAATTAGGAATTTCATCGTAAATTATCATAAACTATAGTAAATCATCAGAAAACCATAAATTATAGAAACAGTGAACCACAAATAAAGAATTCGTCAACCATAAAACTAATTAATAATAGGAAAGAAGAAATGGAACCTGAAGTTTGGATTAAAGAATTATCTTTTGAAGTGTTCGGTAGGGAAGGAAAACCAGGAGGACATGGCAATCCACTAGTGTCAATAGCTTTACCCATCCGGCACGCTCGAATAGCCTCTTCATATTGTTTGATAATACGAAGGTTCATTCTGAAAAATATGTGATTGAACAAATTTTACCACTTCATTATTATCAAATAATAATAATATTAAAACGAAAATCTTTAATTGAAGGCATAAAAAATATCTTTTAAAAATCGATTAACCGATATTTACGAGCGTCATTGTCGGCTTTAGCTTTCTCACATAAAACAGTGTATCTTTCTAGACGTTGAACCAGCCCATCAAGTAGCGTTTTGGGAGAGGGAGATGACACAGTGTTCTGAAAGATACATTTTGCATGAAATTAAGAGGAAGAAATTTAAGTTTTTCAGTATTTTCGTAAGTATAAAACTAGAAAAAAAACAATAAGAAAACTTTGTTATTCATGAAAACAGTTACTTCTTTTTTCTTGTAAGGAGTTGGATAAGGTGGCAAGTCATTTTCTGAGCATTCGCTTACTTCGCCGTTGTTCACTGCTTCGATAGCCTTATCAAATAGCTTTGCTATGGAATAATATTCGTAAGCAACCTTTTTATCACCAGCTAAATAAAAATTTTATTGAGACTGCTAATTTAAAAAATAAAAAAAGAAAACTAGGAAAAGAAAAAAAGGATGTTTGCTATGTGCAGCTGATAAACAAATACAAAAAACAATTCTTTTTTTTCATTAGCTATTAAAAATTATAAACTATTTTCAGAAATATATAATTTAGGGATCCTAGATCGGATAAGCAAATTAATCGACCAACCTGCATTAGCTAAGCGAGCATTATTCACATATGCATCTTTTCGACGTTGTAAAAGCGCTTTCATTTGATTAATATCGGAAATTGGTGAAGAACTGGAAACATTCGAATTACTTCCATTTGGATTCTCAAGCAATTTTAAGCTATCCAGTTCTACAACATTATTAGAACTATTAACTGTCTCGGCAATAATAGCGTCATTATCAATGGATGCTTTCTCTATAGTCGACGATGGAATATTCTGCTCAAAAGCTGTGGAAGATTTTCTTGGCGGTATGGGAGGTGGATAAGATTCTTTTGGGATCGGTAACGACGTATCTTTTGGGATCGGTAACGACGTATCTTTTGGGATCGGTAACGACGTAGTTGACGAAACCTGGAAAATTTAATCAATCAATTTCTTCTTTGAAATTTTGCAAACTATGAGCAAAAAATACGAAACTACGAAATAAATCTAAACTATAAAATCAAGAAAAAAAGAAGGCAAAATATTAACAACAATCGCTTCAATTCTTATGAAGATGATAAATTACATCATTTTGAGCACAACATGCAGATGATGCATTCAGTTCAGAATTTTTGACAATAGAGGAAGATAAATATAAAGGAGCTGGTATATCGTTTTCATCAATTTTTTTTCCAGCTGATACATTCTTCATTAATTCATTTAGCTTTGTAATTGCCCTCTTACATCTAAAATAACAAATTACGGAGCAAAAAGTGTAAAATAACAAAAAACTTAATGATTATAAAAATCATGAATGGTTCATAAATGATAATGACAATGTACAAATTTTCTCACAGTTATAAAATTTTTCTGTTTTTGTAAACCAATTAATTTTTCATTAAATCAAAAAAAAAACCTTCGAAATTTGGCTGAATCCTTCTCATTCTGAAGCATTTCACACATTTTAGTGTAATCAACATTTAACTTCTGCAATCGTTCCAACAATACAGAATCTACAGGAGTTTCAGAAGGATTCACCGTGCTCTCACAACAATTTTCTTTTGTTTTAGATTCACTGAGTTCCTCTTCAACAATATGCGATAATTCAGCCTAAAGAGAATTAATTTATTACTATTTATCCTAAAAATGTGAAAGAAATATTTCCCTAAACCGGTTTATTTTCATTTTCTTAAATGAAATGAAATAAAAATTCTTTTTATTCAAAAGAAAATAAAGAAATTTACTACACTGGCTCGATCAGTTTTATAAGTCTTTTACTAGTTTTTATTAGTGTACTATCGAAATAAAATAACGGATGGTGATAAATTAAAACTAACCAAAAGATCTGGATCCGTAATTTCCTCTTCATCATCCATTGAATCATCAATATCTGTTAATGCTTCATGAATTAAACTCGAATTCATTTCCGCAAGATTAATAGCTCTTTGACCTGAATTATTTTAATGAACAAGTATAGTCAATAATACTAATATAATTTTTGAAAAAAAAAAGGATAAAGAAGCAGAAAAGCAGCAAATTTTTTAAATTTATAATTCTGAAATAGAAAAATTTGGCTACGATAGCCATAAATGAGATAGCCATTTTAGAGAATTTTTGGCTAAAAAGTCATAATAAATGGATAAAGCATTCTGGTACAACTCGTGCCTATGATAGGAATAAATTTGCCATTAAAAAATTGAAGGCCCGCCTAATTCTATATTTCCAAGTGGTTCTCTGGCGAAGATACTTAAGGTGCTCATCATAACAATAGAAATAGTGAAAGCCAACTAACCAAGTGAATACTGTTGGGGAGCGAAAAACCCAAGTTATGCGCTTCATCTGCAGCCAAGGCAGTGGAAATTTAACATAAAATAATAAATAGTATAAAGAAATAACCAAAGTTTCCTCGCTTCGGAACATCATGTGAAATTGATCTATTTTTATCCGATGATAGATTAGAACAAGCGTTTTGCGATTTTTCTTCAGCTTCCAATTTCATCAATTCAGCCAAAAGATCTTCGTCCTTTTCCACATCACCATATAACGCAATTTCTACCGACGAAAAGTCCATCTTCTTCCAGAATCTTTTCCAAAATTATCAAACCTTTCGAAAAATTTCTTCAAGAATAAAAATTCTAGTCCAACAGAATTTCACAATAAAATATAAATTAATTGGAGAAAGAACAATTTTTATAATTTTAATAATTTTTATAAACACTGCCGACCGAGGAAGTGAAACATCTTGGATCCACTCTAATGCCGAATGGCCAAAGAAAATACGAAATTATAACCCGGATAAGGGCTACTAGAAATGTGTTCTTCCGGTTGATGAAACCTTTATGGAGTCGTCGTGAGATTACCATAAAAACTAAAACCCGCGCCAATAACCACGACTCGTTCGATCTTGCTATATGGTTGTGATAATCAGATCGCGCAGCTTGGAAACGCCTTACTCTTATAGCCAATGGAACCAGCCTAACCAGTAATTTAGAAGAAGAAAAATAAGAGAATCTCCTCAAGCAAATCGCCTTCATGGAGTTTAAGCCAGAAAAACTGTCTCATTCTAGTAATCAATAAGGGAAAGGAATGGTACTAGGAAATTCATTTGGAAACAAAAAACAAATCATTAAAATCATTAACAAACATCCAAAATTTAAAAAAATAGTATTCGAATCCAAAATTTTATAGAAAAACTCCTATAACTACTATAAGCACAATTTACCAAAGTGAACCTTGCTAACCAATAGTAAACCTCCTCACCATTCTAAATCATTGCAGGTCAATTGACCTGTCCTCCACACAAATTTAAACCATATATACCGTATAGAAATATTCGTTTCAGAAGTATTTATTCATATTGAAGCTTTATTCTCTTAAGCTTAAATCCATAACATATAACAAATACTTAACAACTATCTTCTAACAAGTTTTTACTACGAATCCACCGAAATCGATTCATCCAAAATTCTCCTTTTCTTTAGAATCCAAGGTAAGGTAGATTTGCATTTTCTTTTTTCTTTTTCCTTTCCTCTATCCTTTTCCTATTCAGTTTAGTTTAGTCTACAAAATGATTAATCCATCCTCCTTTCCTACGTCCTCTTAGATTTAATCCAAATTCATCAATTTTCTTTCCAATTTTACATTATAAATTTTCGTTTCATTATTAATTTCAGTGAAATATTTTACGTTTTCACTATTTTTACTTGTTCAAAATAGAAAATGCTTACTTATTTTCCAAAATTCACAAAAACAAAATATTCACAAACAAATAAAAACAAAAAATTTTATTAAAAGTTTTTTTCTAAGGTTAATAAGGTTAATAAGCAAATGGTCATTTTGATAAAATGTGAATTAAATAAAATAAAAAAAAAGACATTATTAAAAATATTAAAAATAAAATTGGCAGATACGCGACTGTAATTTAATGAAAAGCTATTTAATTTTTTTATTTTTTATCGTTATTATTTTCTACTATTTAATGAGATTTCGATGTTTTTTTAGCCAATTCGATAAGACCATCCGTAGAATGCGATTTCGGTCTTTCAATTGGCAGTCCCATAGCACGCGACCAAATCATTTGCGACAAACAACCTATTGCACGTGAAACACCGAAAAGTACAGTGTAAAATCCCATTTCAGTCATACCAAAGTGTTGTAAAACGACACCAGAATGGGCATCAACATTTGGCCATGGATTCTTTGCCTGAAACAAATATCATAATGCAATTCCTCAGAAAAAATTTTAAATACATAGAAAATATCGGTAATAATAAAAATAATAATATAATAATAGCAAAGAAAAGTAGAATATTGTTAAAAAGTTATAAAACAGTATCCAAAGAATCTTCTGAATTTACTAGCCTCGAAGACTAAAAACTTTTGAGATGCTTCATAAACTCACTTTGCCTTGTTTCAGTAAAATATCGGGAGTAATTTTGTAAAGAGTAGAGACCAAATGGAATAGTTTGTTATCAGGAAGATACTTGAGAGCAAATTCGCGCAAACATGTATATCTTGGATCAGTTTTACGAAGGACTGCATGACCATAGCCAGGCACTACCTATAAAATTTAATAAAATCATCCAAAAAATTGAAAATATTAAAAATATAATTTTTCGAGTCATATTTAAAAATAAAACCTGTCCACTCTTGAGATGATTCCATACCCATTCACTAAGATCTTTTTCGGTATATTTGTCTCCCAATTCTTTGACAATTTTCGAAAGGAATATCAAGACCTGACAATAATTTTCAAAATAATTTTCCTATATATTTCAAAATAAATTATTATGAGTTTGGTAGAATAATTTTCTTCTTAATAGCTTAAATAATTACTGAAATTCAATACGAAACTAAAAAACTCAAAAATTCATTCCTTTTACAGATCGCATCAACACTGAGAATAATCAAACCAAAAATAGCAAGTAAGTGCAAGCAACAAATCATCAAACAGAAATCAAGCAAACAATTGTTTTGCCTAATGATTGCTACAGTCTCTTGTTTATAGCATAACTATTTGCTTTTCTTTTTGTGCACAAAGATGGAATTTTTATGGAATTTCAAAAGACTTAGATAAATTAGTGGATCATGGCTGCATCATAGCATTTGGTTTAAGTATTATGAGTATTCTATTAAAATTATAATACTATTATTAATTTCATCGAAGAGAAAAAATATTAAAAAAAAGTTAAATACAATAATCAATATAAAAATCAATATACAACCTTTTTTTTCTAAAACTATTGCTATTTGTAAATTAAAAGATCTCAAGTGAGCTGGATGCTGAACCAAACTGGTGGGGAGATACAGATAAGTCGCTAGCTCGCTAGCTTTACCAGATAAGATAAAAGAATTCCACCGTAAATATATTCGAAGAAAAATTTGAAGGAAAATACTAATTAAGAAACAATAAGTGAAAAACAAAAAATCATTTAGGAATCTCTTGTCATTTACATAATTATTGTTAAAAATTTTTAGTGATTCAGAACCCTAAAAAGTTAACAATTTGATAAAACAAACCTCTTGGTTTGCTAAGCCATGCAAAGGACCGGCAAGACCAGCCATAGCAGCTGAAAATGACAAATATGGATCAGCAAGTGCTGACCCTACGAGATGCGAGGTATGTGCTGACACATTACCACCTTCGTGATCACAGTGGATAGTCAAGTACATACGCATACATTCAATAAATTCTGGCTTATCATATCCAAGCATAGAGACAAAGTTAGCCGACCAATCTTTATCTGCATTAATTGTGCCAAATGATTTCCCTAAAAATAAACAATGACATAACTACTGCAGAAAAATAAAGAAAATTTCAGTGAATAATGATTTCAGTACGAAATATTAAGTGAAAATTATAATGAAGAAAAAAAAATATTAAAATTATTATATAAATATATAATATATTATTATAATATATATATAAATATATAATATATATATTATTATATATATTATATATTGTATATTATTATATAAATTATATAAATTATTAAAATTTTACTCAAGAAAGAAATATAATTATAACAACTAATTTTATTCGAGTAGAATATGTCAAAAAATTTTTTTTTCTAAAAGCATTTACTATTTCTGGCAAGGCTCACTGACCAGACAAATTTAGCCGGAGAATCACTTGCCGATAGAAGTGCAGCTGAATCCTCAATATCAGTCGAATTTTTTAAAAGATAGATAAAAAAAATTACTACCTTGGGAACAAACTACTGAACCATTTTAATCATAGTATTATGGACTAATAATTTTTGCAGAAATTTGTGAAAAAGTAATTTATATTTTCAGACTATAATCTAGATGAAATTTTTAATCTCTAATTTTCGAAATTTCGAAATTTTTTATTTATTTACCATCTCGGTAGAGATTTCGATAAATTATGGCAGCAACTGTTGTCAATTTTGCTAATAAATCCATAGAATCTTCATAAACATATTCCCAATATGTACTCTTATGGACGCCACGATGATAAGCCTAAAATTTTAGTTTATTTCAAACGCCAAAATGGATAAAATGGATAAAAAGAAATAGCACATACCTTAGCAAATTTGCTTTCACTATGAAGTGCAGCTATAGCTGCAATGAACTGAGCCATAGGATGAAGCGTTGATGGGAAGTTGACCAACATACGTTCTACATGTTCAGGAAGATCGCCACGTTTTGCCCATTCTTTGCTAAAAAAAAAATATAAAAATCACAATATACAAGAATATAAAATTTGCATTATTAAAAAATCAAAATATATATATAAAATATATATATATATATATATTATTTAAAACCACGAACTTTTAAACGGAATTCATAAACAATAATTTCTGATACGAAAAATTACGATTACCTGATTGCTGTGGTTTGCTTTTCATTTGGAATATCACCAGTACATAACAACCACCATATTCCTTCTGGCAATGGTTCCTCACCACCTGGTGCATGGGGCAAAAGTCTTTGACAGTCTGGAATGGAATAACCACGGAATCGTATTCCTTCTTCAGGATCCAAGACTGATGTTTCACATATCATTGACTTTAAATTTATTTCTTGATAAAAAACTTCGAATAAAAATACAAATAAATAAAGGTTGATCAAATTTTTATGACACATATCAATTTATAATACTGATAAAAACTGATAAATACAATATTGAGAAAAAAGAATAAAACAAGAAAACAAGAACAGAGAAATTTATGTAATGCAACCAACTTTAAAAAAAAAAGCAAGTTTACCTTTAATGTTCGCATTCCTCCATAAATCATACCGATATTAACATTTTGTAAAACTGTTTGATCATGTTCTTTGCGAAATTCAAGTACTTTCTTATTGTGAGAAACAATTTTCTTCGCAAGTACCTGGAATTAATAAAATAAAAAACGAAATAAAAAAACTAATTTCAATTTTAAAAAAAATGTTCTTTTCTAAATTATTTTTTAAAGAAAAACTAAAAAATATTTTTGCTAACTTAAAAATATTTGCAAAAAATACGAAACAATAAAAATTAAAACTATAAAATGGGTTGAATAAGTTTTATCAAAATTTATATAATTTGAATTAATTAAGAATTAGAGAATATTTGAAAATCTGATTTATACCTATAAAATTTGACTTTTTGATCTTAAATTTTATAATCTCTCAAAATTTAAATAATATTAAAGTGGACATTTGGAAACCTATTTGTAAATCTAAGATTATATCTCATAATTTCTTTCTTCATGTTATTGTAATGAAATGAGGTAGTAAATAGTAATAAATAATCCCATTAATATCTAAACTGAACAAATTTTATATCTAAACTGAACAAAATTATCCTTGGTATCCTTTAACTCAAATATCATTAGGTATCCTCCGTTCATTAGTTAATAAAGCAGTAATTTCCATCTTATCATTTGGTGTTATTTGGAAATAACATTTATTTTCCTTGTTTTTATTAATTTATTCTTTTTTTCTTTTTCCCACTTGAACTTTGCTTAAATGGATAAAAACAAATAAAATAACTAAAAAAAAAAATTCAGTTCAGTTCATTTCATTATTGCCAATTCAATCTTCAATGCATGGTTTTAAGCCGAAGAGAGAGGGGAAAAATACTTCCTAACAGCCAGTGGAACCATTCAAACTGGGAATGATGTGTACTAATTGTGGGAGCGACTAGTAAAGAAGAACTATCGATTTTATATCCTAATTATTTCTCTTTTTATCCCATTTGTTTCTATAATTGTTTCAGCAAAACAACTGCAACATCTTAAATAAGTCATAACTGCAGGATGCTTCAATTTTTCCTTCTTTCATACCACACCGTTGTCTTCTATAAACTCTTATCATGGCCTTTATAAACATACATCAAACGATTTTCGTGTGCTGATCACGTGAGCCTCCTTAGCTCAGTCGGTAGAGCATCAGACTTTTAATCTGAGGGTCGTGGGTTCAAGTCCCACAGGGGGCGAACCCTTTTTTCCCCATCATGTTTTGACATATTTAACATTATTGAGACAAAATTTACCTCGCAAAAAAAAACACTTACTTCTTTGAGGTTTGTCGACGGCTCAGTCCCAGCTGCAGTTGCGTACATCGCACCCAACTTCCAATTCTTTATCAATTATCAATTAAGTGTGTGAGAATTACGCGTAATTTTTGAAAAAAAAATTTAGCATAAAACAATCTTCAACGAGTTGGTCTTAAACTTTAGTTTCAGATCACAGGTTTAGACTTTTAAATCAGAGTCGGCTTTAGGTCTGATGACAGACTTAGGCTTAGGCTTAGGCTTAGGCTTAGGCTTAGGCTCGCATAGCTTAAATATCAGTTCAAAATTAAAAATATAATAATAATAATAGAAAAAAAGAAACCTTTGCGAGAAAATTTAAACGCGTAATTTTCGTTGAAAAAACCATTATCATTGCGGAATTTTTTCTTTTTTTTCGTTTTTTTTTCGTTAGAAAATATCTAAAAATTATTTCAATAAAGAAAAAAATTTTCTTTAAAATGCGAAATGTTAAAATTAAAATTCAACTTTTGTACTTAAATATTAAATAAAATAAAAAACGAAATAAAAAAAATAATTTCAATTTTAAAAAAAATATTCTTTTTTAAATAATTTTTTAAAGAAAAACTAAAAAATATTTTTGCTATTTTAAAATTATTTGCAAAAAATACGAAACAATAAAATGTTAAAAATTAAAACTATAAAAACACCCTTATAAGCAAACGAAAAAAAAAAAAGCAACCACCTCGAATATAAACTTTTAGCTAAAATGTTCACCTAAAATTGGAAATGATAGACTGTGAAAAAGAAGAAAAGATAAATTGAAATAACACTTGGTTAAGGAGGGAAAAGAAGATTGAGAGATGGAAAGATTGGAGATAAAGAATAAGGTTAGAGAAAAATTATAGAATAAAGAAAAGATAGAGGAAGAAACCATGCGACGAGATGTTCAGATCAGATCACGGGGTTGAGGCAAAGGATGGAATATAGTGGATGCAGGAGTAAGAAGAGATTAGAAAGGTCGAGGTTGAAGGAATAGGTAGCGTCGATCAAAAGGATTGGATGAGGGATTAGATACTGGTGGTGCATGGGGAAAAAGAAATGCTGGCGATTGCGAGATTGGAGAAATAAAAAATTTAATAGGAATGATGATCGGTGAATGGTGAGAAGTCGTTTTATCGAGGTGACATAGCGTTGTAAACCTTTGTAGTCAACGGGAGATTATGATAAACGGGAGAAATGGTGACGAAAGATTTGCGATGGCAAATGATATATGTACGCATTTATTTCCGCAAATTTTAACTTTCTCACCATAATTTTCACCAATTTGTTCAATAATTTTTATTAGTTTATTGAGAAATTTTAATAGACAACTAAGGATTTATTCCATCCTTTTTCTTTGACACCGAATGGTCCCAAGGACGATGGAAAAAAGAATGGCTTCTATTATTTCTAGCGATGGCATCGGGCCGGGATGCTTGGAAGCATCTTACTTTTGTAGCCAGCGGAGCCAACCTAACCAGCAATGGTGAGAGCTATTAGAAGAAGAAGAAAAAGAATGGTCCCAAGGATACCTCCCCTATCAAATTAATCTCTCTAATATAACCCTCTAAAATCCCATTCTTTCTAAATAATTGATCTATTTATCTGATTATCACAACGATAATTGTAATATTTTTATAGATGAAGTTACTACTACGTGATTTTCTATTGATGTAATTTGTGCTAAGCCTAAATAAATTATCGAAGAGGGAGAGTAGTGGGTTTGCAGTTTGTTGGTCTTGCAATTTACCACTTTAAAATCTCTTAAATCGGAAAAAATAAATAACATAAGATTTGGCCTAATACTGATCTGTCATTGACCTTAAATTGGCCTTATTCAACGAATCACACTAATGTTGAATGGATCAAATTGTCACAGTGAGAGCTGAGCTCACTTGGCGGATTGTTATAATGGGAGCCAAGCACATTTGGCAGATTGTCACAATGACAGCCAAGCACTTGGCTTTTGCAGGACATAAATAATCAAAAAACGGAGATATATTTTATCATCTTCAGATGTTCTTCCTAGCAAAAGTCTTCAAAGTCTTCATACTTCAACGGAATGAACCTAACCAGAAATATAGAATAAACCTCTTCTTCCTTTAAAAATCCGGTTAATCCGGTTCGCTCATTCACCCATATTTCTATCAAATGATTCCCTAACAAAATTTGTTTGATCCAACAATCGGTGGACTGAATCTACTCAGAAATAGTAAGCATTCTTAGAAAAACAAAAATTAACCAAAACAATTCGAAGTATTCGCACTTCTCTCTGTTCAATTAAGTAAGCCTGTTTTAATTACCATAAGTTCCACTAATAAAAATTATAGGAGCTGATCGATCGCATCTGCCGTTATTTGCTTATATTCACCTTTTCCATTGCCTATAGTGTAATATTTTCTTTTTATATCGGGGGATGACCTTTTGGCAATTGACCTCACTAACTGTTATTAATAAATCTCATATGTGCTTATGAATCTATAATCTCGGTTAGTTTCACGTGGAATTGGTGTAACTGAGTTTTAAAATTTATAAAAAAATTAAAAAAGTATTAATTTTTGTAACAATTCAGTTGTTGGAGATATTTTAAAGAAATATATAAGAAAAAATTTTTATAAAATTTTTATATTGCCAAATAGGATTGGAATAAAAATAATAATTTTAGAAGATTTTAAGAAATTTAAGATTTACAAAATTATAAAATTCAGAAATATTCAGGCCAATTGAAATAGAATGACACTTCAGTTTGGTTTGAATAAAATCGAAAAAATTCCTTAGGAATGAGATAAAATATGTTGAAAATTCGAAATCCCAGTTAAATTCCAATAAAATAGTATTCTTGGCTAATATTCTTTTTCATGGGGGCATCCACTTATGGACGAAGATAGTCTTATAATTTGTGGTACCAAAAATAATGAACTCGTAACAGTTTGACAAAAGAAAAATTAGATTTTTGTTTCAGATGAAAGAATTTCATACAAATAATTCAATTCGTATGTTGCTCATATGAATGAAGAGTTTTTGCTTCAAGCTCAGTGAAACAGCTGATCTCATTTAGACTATTTTTTTTTACACAAATGTGTGTAGAATCATGGACATATCTTTTGATAAGTTCTGGAAACTATTCAGGATATTCTACACCAATGGAACTTCTGCTTCAGCCACCATATTTCAATATCTCAAGAATGAGGAGGTAAAAAGAGATAAGTGAGTGGTTGTTTAAAAAATTCGAACGATACTATTAATTGCTAGCTTCGCCGAGTTGTTGACCTGATAAATTTTGCCAAAGAGTTTACTTGGCGATAAAAGAACAGATAAAAGCGAGGTTGACCAATCAAAACCTGGGTTGATACAGTCAGGAAAGATTTTGATAATATAGATGGATAGTAAGTAATACATGGATTTGGATGATGGAAAAAGGAATGGCTTCTGCTACCACTAGCGATGGCGTTGCACCGAGTAGATTGGAAACGTCTTACCTTTGTAGCCAGTGGAGCCAGCTTAACCAGTAATGGTGAGAACTGTTAGAAGAAGAAAAGTGCAGATGAATTCGTACTTTTAAAAGACAGGTTTAAGACCCAAAGTAAGTAGTACCGCAGCAACGATGCTTCGAAGTAAGAGTCTTACCGAGCTATTTCTACCTAACATTGATTGATTTAATCGTTCGGCAGTAGTGATGCTCGATGTGTGATATTCTGGTCAGATTCAAACTCGAACCATTCTCTGCATTAAGTTGGCTACTGCCAATATACATCTTTCGATATGTTCAGGAAGCCATTCAGGACTCTATATCAGTGGAACTCTTACTTCGGCTATTAAAAACTCACTCCCTTGTGGGTGATCATCCTCAACCTCCACTAGGGTCCTCTGCCAGAGGCCTGGAAAATATATATATTAAACCATATTTATCCTAGCTTTTCTGTATATGTATACAAGTTTCTCCTAATACATTACGCATAAAATTCAAGAAAAAAAAAGTTGAAACTATCTCTCCAGTAAGTGTCGTTTGGCAAAGACCATTCTATTAACGGAGCAATAACTGATCGCCCAGCGCAAAAGTAAGAGGAAAGTTGCTCCAACAACTTCAGATAGGCCAATTCTACATTACAGCCTAAACCCAATTGAATTATTTCGCTCACATATAGGTTTAGATTCTTTTTATAAAACCTATAATACTACCAAAAATAAGAAAAAGTCATTCAAATAAATGTCAATCCAACTGAAAATACAAGAAAACACTTAACAAAAAATATTTAGCGATGAACATTTGTTCTGTTTTCATTCTATTCTGTTGAGTTGACTTTGCCAAATATCAAAACACTTCTCGAAGTAACTTTTTTTTGCCAAAAAATTTTATCAGATTACCAGTTTATTGAAAAATCGAAAATTTATATGTGGGTTAAGCTTACAATATTATGCAAATTATATAAGAAATTGTATAGAAATTATATTTTTTTCTTTTCAAAGAGTACAGTTGTTCCAGAGTAATTTTTTTTTTATTAATAAATGTATTTTTATACAAAGGAAGAAAGATAATAAAGATAAGATAAAGTTTAATTTGAATATTAAATAGCTGACCTCATTCTTTGTTTAGAAAGGTTTTTTTTTATAAAAGATTATTTCGATTTCCCCGATATTATGATAAAGTGTTATCAATGTTATCAATGTGTATTCATTCATTAGTACTATTAATACACATTAATAACACTACATTTACATATTTATACAGATTGTTTCTCATCCAAATGTCGTTAATCAAATATTTATAGCAATATTTCTTAAATCGTATTAAAGCCTGATCCTTCATTAAATTATAGAAATCTTGGCTCGCTTGGAGAAACTGGAGAATAAATAAAGATCTTAATTCATAAGGCGCACGGTGATTTTAATTTAAACGGTGCTAATTCTTACGAATTTCACTGAAATTTCTACTACCAGCGAATTAATAGATTGAAGATTCATTCGAACTAGTGGAACCAATCTATTATATCACAACTGTTAGAGGTATTAATTATTAGAGGGAAAAATTATTCAAGTAATATTATTTC